TCTGTCTCTTATATAAAACTGTGCTATAGCCAACCAACGTCCTTGCTGTACCTCAGGTATTACCCATAATTTTCTACCTCCATGCCCCCATTCATGCTGTTCTTCATACTGAAATGTCCCCCAATCCCAACATAATCCAATTCCATTATCCTTCAAGGCCCACTTCAAATTTCTCCTATTTTATGAAGGAGGTCTTATAAAGCCTTTCTTGATCCCTCCAATCATATATGTGCTCTCTCCCTTCTTTGAAATCGCTCAAGATTTGTTGACATTTCTATTCTCTTTTGATGGTATATATGCCCTTTAGCCCTGCATTACAGTTGGGTAATACCTGTGTCTCAAGACAATAATCTTTGACATCAGAAACTATATTATTCATCCACATTGCCAAACAAATGGTAGGAGTTCAGTAGATTATTCTGACAGAACAAATATAAAAAGGACACTCTGGGACGTAGAAACTGAATGAACAATGGTGCTAAAAGTTAGAAACATCAGCAGGGTTAAGTTTAGAAGGCAGGTGGAGTCAGACTGCCAGAGCATTGAATGCCAGGATAATAACAATGGCATATATTTGGTTCTCAGTGACAGTCACTGATGGTTTTAGTAGCTGGAAAGTGATAAGATCTGAGATACGAAAATCAAACCAGAAGCATTCTGGTTGACACATCAGTCTCCTGGGAATTGGGTTCTGGAGGCAAGTCCATCCCTGAGAGAAGAATGGAGTCTTACTGTGCCCATAAAATTAAGTGTCTGATCTGTAGCTCTGTGAGTCCTGGAAAAGTCACTAAGCTGAACACTGCTTTGTAGGCTTGCCAGCAACCAGATATTTGAGGGCCCACCTAATAGAAGGAAACAGACCCACACCAAAGCAATCATTACTGAAGTTCCAAACTGGTGAGAAAGAGAAGGTTCTATATTTTTCCAGAGAAAGAAGAGGGGAACAAAAATCACATTACACAGAAAGGATGGGGAATCAAAATAGCTTTGAATTCCTCAGCAGTAACACTGGAAGCCAGAAGACAGTGGGAAAATGTCTTAAAAATTCAGAAAGAAGAGAATTTCCAACCTAGATAATTAGATATATAATTCTATGCTGAGCCAAACCATCAATGAAGGTAAGGGTAAAATGAACACACTTTCACACATACAAAGTCTTTAAAAAACTTACCTTCTGTGAACCTTTCTCAGAACACACTGAAATAAAGACATAAACCAAGAAAGAGGAAAACAATGCATAACAGAAACAGGAAACTCAACACGAGAGTGAGGCACAGGGAATGCCCAGAGGGATGGGGGGCCAGGACAGTGCCTGGGCAACAGGGAAAAAGAATAATCGTTCTAGTCTAGAGCAGGTCAGAAAACTCTGGGAGACATTTCTTTAAAAATACGCAATGTCCACACATCTATGGACAGCTAATTTTTGACAAAGGAGCCAAGAACATACAAAGGAGAAAGGAAAGACTCTTCAATAAATGGTGCTGGGAAAACTGGACAGCCACATGCAAAAGAATGGAAGTAGACCATTATTTTACACCATATACAAAAATTAACTCAAAATGGATTAAAGACTTGAATATAATACCTGAAACCATAAAACTTCTAGAAGAAAACATAGGCATCCACTCTTTGACATTGGTCTTAGCGGCATCTTTTTGAATACGTCTCTTTAGGCAAAGGAAATAAAAGAAAAAATAAACAAATGGGACTACATCAAACCGAAAAGCTTCTGCATGGCAAAAGAAACCATCAACAAAATGAAAAAACAACCTACCAATTGGGAGAGATATCTGCAAATCATATATCCGATAAGGGGTTAATCCAAAATATATAAAGAACTCGTATGACTCAACAACAAAAAAATCAAACAACCCGATTAAAAAATGGGCAGAGGATCTGAACATTTTCCAAAGAAAATATACTGATGGCCAAAAGGCACAAGAAAAGATGTTCAACATCACTAATTATTACAGAAATGCAAATCAAAACCACAATGATATCACCTCAAGCCCTCAAGTCAGAATGGTTATTATTAAAAAGAAAAGAAATAACAAGTGTTGGAGAGGATGTGAAGAAAAGAGAATCACCATACACTGCTGATGGGAATGTAAACTGGTGTAGCCACCATGGAAAAGAGTATAGAAATTCCTCAAAAATTAAAAATAGAATTACCATATGATCCAGCTATTCCATTTCTGGGTATTTATCCAAAGAATACGAAAACACTAATTCAAAAAGACATATGCACCCCTATGTTCATTGCAGCATTATTCACAGTAGCCAAGAGTTGGAAACAACCTAAGTGCCCATCAACAGATGAATGGATAAAGAACATGCGGTATGTATACAGCATGGAATACTACTCAGCCACAAAAAAGATGGAATCTTGCCATTTGTGACAACATGGTTGAACCTTGAGGGTATTACGTTAAGCAAAATAAGTCACACGGAGAAAGCCAAATACCATATAATTTCACTCATACGTGGAAGATAAAAAATAACAACAACAACAAACAAATACATAGATACAGAGAATAGATTGGTAGTTATCAGAGGGGAAGGGGGTGGCATGGGCAAAAGGGGTAGAATGTGTACGGTAATGATGGCAACTAGACTTTTGGTGGTGAGCATGATGTAGTCTATACAGAAGTCAAAATATAATGATGTACACCTGAAATTTATATCATGTTTCAAACCAATGTTACCTCAATAAAAAAATAAATAAAAAAGAATATCTGATGCTACTCCAGGGAAAACAGTTGTGCAGAAAAAGAAAAGTAATCTCAGTATACCACATGGCTCACTGTGACTACATGATGTAAACACTGGATATTGATCTATCTAAAATGACGATATAACCTTTGGGGAAGGCTATGGGGATGAGAAATTGAGCATGTGTGTGGGGCCATGGGTAAGCAAGGAGAGTTAAATACTCATCTTCCATAGTAAGAATCAATACATAATGTCTAAAACTGAAAAATCAACAAGTAACAATCTCAGCATGTTATCTGGAAATACAGGAGCTATACGTGCATGTATAACATGTTAAAAAGTTTTAAATGTTTAAAAGACTGTGACTGTGGTAGAATAACTTTGGGTATTGGTTTGGCAATGTCTAGTAAATGTAAATTCATACCAAATAATTCCACTACTAGATATGAAACGAAATCTCACACATGTACACGGATTGTTTATTGTAACATTGTTTGTCATAAGTAAGGTTTTTAAAATAACCTAAATGTCCAACGACAGGAAAATGGTTAAATGAAGTGTGATATAAAAATACAATGGAATACTATACAACAATGAAATGGATGACCTGAAGCTATAAGCACTGATAAACCTCAAAAACCATGTAAGATAAAAAGCAAGTTACAGATAGAAGGTTAACATACACTATTTACATAATTTTTAGAACATACAACATCATATATATTGTTTATGTTAATGTGTATGTACGCACACACACACACACACACACACACACACACACCCCAACTTCAGGATCACGATTCCCTCTGGGATAGGAGGGAGGGCAATGGGATGGGGTCAAGAAGGGACTCATAGAGGGTTTCAATTTTACTTGTAATATTTTATTTCTTAAGCTATGTAGTAGGTACATAAGTACCCATTATATTATCTACACTTTTGTGTGTACAAATAAAATATTTCTAGGGGCTTCTGTTAAAATTTGAGAAATTAAACTCATACATTTAATTTTGCTTCATCTCAAAACATACCAAGAGGACCACAATCCTTTATGCAAACTCTCAGAGCTTTATGTGTTTCAGAATTCTTTAGATTGTAGAAAGTTATCACGATACAATTCCATATATTACATCACACCTTCAGTGGGACCTATAATCAAGTTATGTTCAAAATAAGCATTTGACACTACTCAGGTAGTTGTTCTTCCCTCAGGACCAATTAGCCGCCAGCCTGGCCCTGTACAAACAGCCCTTACTCCTCAAACCTGTGCTGATTCCCTTTTAAGAGAAGAGGTGGAAAGCAAGTGGATGGGGACATCAGCAGGCCCTTGGGGAGGATTTGGACTCCGTTATATCTGGATTTTTAAGTACCTGGCATTTCCCTGTCTCCTTACCTATACTAGGGCACTATTGCCCATTGCTCTGTAGCCCTGACCAACTGTGGAGCATATATACCATCTGATTCCTGCTGAACACATTTTCTGCTTTATTTAAGTTTTTGTCAGGAAGAACACTGTGCTCTATATCCCAGGTCAGTCCTGCCTCTCCAAAGCCAGCCCCAGACTCACACACACACACACACACACACACACACACACATACACACACACACACATTCATACCACTCTAGAGCAGATTTCCTTCCACTGACTTCCTAACTTAACTGATGAACCTTGCGTATATTCTGTCGAGTTTGCTTCTCTGTATTTCTAACTGCCGTTGGCATCTTGCTAACACCACCTCGCTGTGTTTGGTTGCCCTTCAAATCCAGCATGATGTGTAAACAGCCTCAGGAAGTAATGAATACCAACTTGCTCTTGAAAGTCAATGCTGAACAATCTTTCGATTTCTATTTCTGATTTATCTAACTAATGAAATAAAGAACATTGTGCTTAGCTTACGCCCAATTAAACATCCGTTATGGTAATCAAAATCTCCTGGCAATTATCACAGGTGACATTCTGAACTTACATCAGCACTATAATCAACACCCAATTCCCCGAATACCAAATTCACAAGCACAGAACCCAACTGTGAAAAGGTCAGAGGAGAGATCCCTTCTCCTCCATAAATACCAAGCGGCCCAGCCAACCACCTCTATGTTTGTCAAGCTTGTCTATTTATTGTATTTGCTAAATGTTCGGGCCTCCACAGAGCAACTGCAAAGGAAATCAGGCATGCCACAGTGTTTTCAAGGTGAGCTCCACCACCTCTTCCTTGGGGGGTGAGCAGGAACTCAGCTTTGGAGCGTGATGTCAGCGAACAAAGGGAGAAAGGAAAAGCCATACTCACCATAGAAGAGGAGTGCTTTGGTCATGCGATGATGGAGGAAGGACCGGTTGATGGTGAAGAAACAGGCATCTGCCCCGCACTGGCCTAGCCTTGCCGTTTCCCCAGTCAGTGGGGACCACCAGAGCATAATGGGGTAGCTGTCAGTTTCCAATTTTTTTTTCCTATTCAGGGTCAGTGCTTCTTTCTGAAGGAATGGATAGAGATGTGTAGGCTCTTCTTCCATTTCTGCATGTCCAGCTCGTAAATAGAAATTTTTAAATTTCTTCCTTTCAAATTTTCCCAGCTCAACCACTACCTGGAACGGAAGACAATTATTACCAGAGTCAGACTGCTTCATTTCCTTTTGCACATCTCTCATGCATCTTGATGATTTAGCCTCTTATTAGTTTTCTATTGCTGCTATAACAAATTACCACAAACTTTACAACTTGAAACAACACATATTTGTTATCATACAGTTCCAGAGGTCAGAAGTCTGAAATGGGTCTCACTGTGCTAAAATCAAGGTGTTGGCAGGGCTATGTTCCTTTCTGGAACCTTTGGGAGGGAATCCATCTTCTTGCTTTTCTATCTTTTAGAGCCACCCACAATTCTTGGCTCCTGGTCCCCTTCCTCCATCTTTAAAGCTGGCAACGCTGCATCCCTCTGACCCTTCTTCTGTTGTCACATTGCTCTCTGACCACAGCCAGGAAAGAGTCTTCACTTTTAAGGATTCATGTGATTACACTGAGCCCACACGGATAATTCAGAATAATCTCCCCATCTCAAAGTGTGTCACCTTATTACCATCTGCAAAGATCCTTTTGCCACATAAATTAACATACTCACAAGTTCCAGGAATTAGGACATGGACGTAGCCTCCAACATATCTACCAACAAGGATGCTTAATACTACTCAACACATAACAGATACATTTCTCCTCCATTCCACAGGCATATAACCAGAAGTGGTTTTATCTCTTAATGACATCTGTGCAAGTCAGGGTTATAATCTGGCTATTACTAGAGATTACACTCCAGGGAAAATGAGTTATAAATTACCAATTTGTTTATTTTTATTACAATTAAAGAAGTCGTAACATGGGTCTTATATTTCTAATAATACCCACTATGGCATGGAGATGGTGAAGTAGACCATGAATACTGGGCTCCCTCCCACATAAAACCACATCTTTTATTTATTTCAGGAGAGTCTGGGTCACTGGACAGCTAGGCCATCAGTGACAATAATCTGGAGGGAGGGTGGGCAGGGTGGAAACAGAGGGGCAGTTGTTCTCTGCAAGTGCTGCCTTTTCATCAAACTTTAAGGTTTGGTATTGACATGGCATTATAAAAATATGTTAGAGAAAGCACAATAAAAGTAGGGGCTGGTCTGTTTCATATATAACTGAAACTTGAGTAGTCAGACCATGCAACAAATAAAGCAGTTAAAAGAAGGCACGTTTTTCTGTATAACTCCTCCACCGTCCACAGAGGACACTACCTGTGTGGCCCTCAGGCCCCACTCTTGGCAGCCAAATATGGTGCCTTCTTTACGTGCTTGCTACCCCTGGTGTCAGAAAAGGGCCACTGCCCACTGACGCAGTACAAAGTCTGTAACTCCCCTGGGAGAGTCCGTAATTTTCACTGGATTATCTGAGGGATCCAAGGCCAAAAAAATATAAGAACCACCGAGTGGAAGCCAAGTAGTATTCCAAAAAGAGTAAAGATTTATATTAGTTTTAAAAAATCATGGATCACCTGTGACACCAAAGCCAGCATTAGAACAGTAAAACAGTCACTGAAAACTGAAGAAAAGTCTAACCCTTGCCAATAGCTTTCTCGGCATTTTTATGGTAACATAATAATGTGGCTATTCCCCAGTAGGTTGATGGAATGGAGTTGACTTGTAGCCACAAACCCTCTATCTTTTCACCCAACCTTTCCCTGCAAATGTACAGCCAACAACTTTAAAGAAAGGCTTTTAGAAAGCCATGGATATAACTTCACAGACAAATTTTTTTTTAAACAAAATTTTTTGTAAATTTCAAAACAAATTTCTGATCAATGTCTACTATGTGAGGTATAAGTTCATTTCCAAATAACAGAGATTGCTGTAAAGAGAGATTTTTTTTCTCCCAAATAGCTTTTAAAAAAATATTGAGCCTCAGATAACACTAGATGGTGGGAAATATGGGGGATACAGCAACAAATATTAAACAAAACCTCGAGGATAAAATCAGTCAAATCCAAAATCTGGGAAATCCGAAAGGACAAATGATCCAGTTTCTTCAATAAATCCATGACATGGAATAAAAGGTGGGGCAGAAGAAACTCACAGTAAAAAAACCTAAAAAATCCACAAAAGTTGAGACACACCAACTAAATACAATTCCTCTGATCAGATGGCCCCAGAAGGGGGCAGAAGTACAGCGCCAGACTGTCTGCCAAAGTGCCTGTACAAGCTTTATCTCATTCAATCCTAATCAAGGAGAAGGAAGATCCTCTAGAATGAAAAAGCCCAGAAACCACCTTCCTTTCCATCAGCCCCACACCTGAACTACTCACACCCACAAATAATCTTTAGAAGTCCTTTGGATTTTGAAATGGACAGCTGATACGTGAATGGGTGCTAATTATATCATATCTATACTTTTACTATTACTGTGAAAGTTTTATTTCAATATGAAATCAGCAAATGAAGTTCAGAGTAACCAACTACAGTCATGCATCGCTTAATGATGGGGATATGAGAAATGCTTTGTTAGGCAATTTTGTCATTGTGCGAACATCGGAGTACACTTACACAAACCTAGATGGTATAGCCTACTATACACCTAGGCTATATGCTACTAATCTTATGGGACCACCATCATGTATGCAGTCCATCATTGACCGAAATGTCGTTCGATGCATGACTGTAACAAAATAAACGGGAGGGCTAAAGAAACGTTTCAGTTCATTCACCCTAATACAGTCCTTGGTCTGGTAGCATATAGCAAGAATGGCAAACTTATTAACGCAGATGTTTGTGTTCTGCAGAACAGACTATCTTGTTCTCAGAATATTCATTGCTTCTTCAAGAATGCCATCGTTCAGAAGTGATCATGAGCACTTTGAGGAACCATTCAATTTTGACCCAGTAAGACAGGGTCTTATTTTGACCCTCTAAAACCAGGACCCTACAAGAGTCACAAACCAATCCTGATTTGTTTCTACCTGACACATCCACTCAATAAACCTCAGTTTCTCTGTTAAAAAAAAAAAGTATTTTCCTTGCCTTAGACAGAAAACGCCTAATCCTGAGAGATTAAGCAAAAAGTAAAGTACTTGGAGAGAATGGGGTGGGGGCGGGGATGGTGGCAAAGCCTCAAGAATCAACACTACACAACCCTGATTCTTGGTACCTGAAGTGTGACAAGCAGAAAGCCGGTAGCTGTGATGCACAGGCAAGATGCCAAAAGCTTCCTCCTCTGAAACCGCACCATGCTGCCCCGCCCTGGCTGACTGACAGAGGGCTAGCCTGGCTACCAGGTGTTCTCGAGTCGGCCCACAGCCCAAGACAACTTCACGTGGAGGAACCATCTGGGTGCCAATTTCCTCTACCGCCGTTCCTGCTGAGACCTGGTCTCCATGAAGGACTGAGATCCGAGGCTCTGAGTGGGTCTGGCTTGGCATCAAGAAGGAACAGCACGCAGCCTTCTTAAGCCATCATCGGAGCAGCTGGAGATTCTTCAAACCAGAAGGCATCAACAAATTCTGTAACAAATGAATAATCTTTTAGCCATAGTGCAGAAGATTTAATAAATGTAGTCTCATTTGTACAGTGATGGATGGAAACTAGACTTTTGGTTGTGAAAATGATGTAGTGTATACAGAAGTCGAAATATAATGATATACACCTGAAATTTACATAATGTAAACCAGTTACCTCAATAAAAATAAAGAAAGAAATGTAGTCTTGCAGGGTTATCATGCAGAAAACCAAAACTTTAAAACTAAAAAGAACCTCTGAGATCATTTAGTCCTAATACCTCACTCATAGATGAGGAAACCAAAACCAGAGAGGTGAAGTGACTTACTCAAGGTCACACAGCCCAAGAGAGTGACAGATCTACAATCAGCCTAAAACTCTGTTTCCACTTAATTTTCTCTACCATCAGAGATTAAATTCTAGAAGTCATTTACATGTAGTCACACCCTTCTATCCAGGTTTGAAAGGAGTAGAGAAGTGGAGTAGAAATTACCAGGACCAACCACCCACTCCTATAAAAAATAGGGAAAAAATAAATAAAAGGTTCAGGCTTTGATCAAAAATGGATAATAATCAACTGGCCCCAATTCCTCCCGAGGAAAACAACTTCAGCCACGGCACCAAGAATTCTGATTATTCATTGATTTGTTTAGTCTTTTATGGCAAGTGTAATAAAGCACGGGTTGTGTGGGCAACAGGATTCTCTGGAAGTTTTGAAATTAGATCTTCGCCTATGTGAAATGAATGATCTTTTCAAAAAGTTTTAAAAATGAACTAAACAGTCCCACAGAATGCCTTTTATTCCCAGCGTTCTATGAAGTCAAATGTCTTGGGCAAATGACCCTGCAGAGTTCAGAACAGAGCAAGGGTCAACATTCCAGAGGAAGGGTAGTGTTGCCTCACAGTACTCCGAGGATCTGATTCTAAGTCAGAGCTACATCTCTCTAGGATACAGAATTAAAGATACAATTAGAAATATAAAAAAATGACGCAGAATTCTGGCTAAAAACCTAGGTCTTAAAGGTATGCTCTCCTCTCATGCATCTACCTTGATTTACTTTTAAGTCCAGGATATTTTTTTTCCCTCACAACAAAATGACTCTTGGTCTCAGAAATCACCAAAAGTGCATTTTTCTAGTCTCGTTCATGGAATTCCGACAATCCACAGTGCCTAAGAAAAGGGTCTCTAGAGTCAGTCAGCCAGGATTCGAATCTCACCTCCCCAGCTAGTTTAACCTAGCCTCTCCATAAATGAATTTCCAAAATGTGGATAATAATGGTCCCTAATCAGAGAGTTATGTGAGAATTATATAAGATTGGTAAAAACACTTATTTCCAAGTCCAGCACATAAATGTCCAATAACTATTTGCTATCTTATTTTTAAATATTATTATAATTTTTATTATAACTTTAAGTGGAAAATGAAGTTGAATTCACACAAAGTATGTTGCCTGCCCGACCAACTGTAACTTCCAAAGGAGAAATCTTTTGCCAAGAAAAGGAGATCACTAATATTTGTTGAGTGACCTATTATGAGCAAGGCCCTTCCTCAGCACTCAGCACGCACAAGCTCATTCATCCAACAACTCCATGAAGGAGTAATTACTGTCCTCATCTTGTAGGGAGAGAAAACTGAATTTGAACAAAGCAAAGTAACTTGCCCAAGACTATAACTTTGATAAGAACTATAACCAAAAACTAGTCAGATGCTGAAGTTCATGCATTCTTTTATATTTTTAACACTAAGATCAAAAAATTCCCACCAGATGATACTAATGCTCACAGATTATCTGTGTGAATCAGAAAAAAAAATTTTTTTCTTTTTTTGGTGAGGAAGATAGGCCCTGAGCTAACATCTGTGCCAATCTTCCTCTATTTTGTATGTGGGTCACCATACATGGTTTTATGAGCAGTAGGTAGGTCCATGCCTGGATCCACACCTGTGAACCCGGGGCCGCCAAAGCAGAGCACGCGCATTTAACCACTACGCCACTGGGCCGGCCCCCTGAATCAGAAAAAAACATGTGCAGAATAGCTCTCTGTCAGCTGTTATACCAGAGAAAAAAGTAACAAAAATCTACAAGAACCTGAAAAGCACCTTTCCTTCTACTCAGTAGATGCTAGTAACTCTATTAGCCACATAAAATGTGGAGCTAGCACTTCGCGTTCCAAACCCGACTCTGTCATGTATACATAACATAAATTTGGACAAGTTGCTAAATCTTTCTAAGCCTCAGTTTCTTCAAAGTAAACAATAAATGTTAACTATCGTTATTTCCTTCCCTTGCATAACAGAAAGATCATCAAATTTTCATTTTAGATGCAAAAGCAATTTATTATGGCTATAATTAATGGAACCCAGATTAGGTAATGAAATCATATTACCATTTTAAATGGGTATAAAGCTAAATCTTTTTCACAAGATTTTTAGATACATCACTCCACTCAATCTTATGGATAACCACCTTGTAAAGTAGGCAAGGTAGGTATTATTATTCTCAGTTCCCACAAATAAGGAAACTGAGCCTGAGTGAGTTTAAGTGATTTGCTCAAGATCACATTTCTTTAAAGGTTGAAACGCATCTAAAAATCAGGTCACCTGCCTCCGATCAGTGGAAAGGAAAGAGATGGGGAAAACAGTGATAGCTAAGAATACAAAAGAGTCAGGAATAAAGGAAAACAAAAGATGGAGAGAGGTGAGGTCACAGTTTGGGTTATTTTTATAGCTACCACATGGCTCAGGCTGTCCTAGGGCCTTTTAAGAGCCTTTAAGTCTTTACGTGGCTGTACGAACTGTGACAGAGAATTTGTTACCAATTCCCTTCCATCCAAAGAATCTCAATTTTGGTTCTTTTCCCAAAGCCAGAAGTAAAGTGGGATTTCAGGGGCCAAGCTGTGGTCAAATACCCACCACTAAAGAATAGAGCCAGCTAGCATAGAAGGTGTTATGATTTATAGCATGCAGCAATCAATCAGGCCTCGGGGCACGTCAATCTAATATACGGTATTAATTACCCAGGAGCTTGTCATCAAGTCAGCAGTCTCCTGACTGGTGGGACAGACGGGCTTGCAGAGAGCACCGTGAAGGCCAACAAGCTCCAATGCGATGGGCCTCCAAGAGGAAAGCTCCCTTCTGTTCCATCACTGCCCTTAGAGTGAATCCCCGAGTCCTCCATGAGGGTGCCCAGAACACTCCTTTCTGGGACGAGCAATGTGCGTGTGTTCAGACAACCATGGTAGATAACATCTGAAATGGACTTGCACTAAGCCCCGCCTCTTGACCCTAGAGCTGACTTCTGCACTGCCTGGGGCCGGCCACCTGCTGCCCAGAGAGAGGTCTGGAGTTGGGCAGGACTGCCTCATTCTCCTGCAAGTCTATTCCATCAAAAGCAGCAACACTTTCACCCTAAAATAATTTCAAATTTCTCTATTTTGAATTAAAACGGACAGAAGGGCGATAGAATATCTTAAAGAGAATTAGCAGCCTGAGGATGCCAGCTTCAAATGTCAGCCATGCAGGGCCAATCCAAGGCATAAGTTAAGGGTCTCAGAAAGGGGACTGAGATGATTTCTGCCCTGCGCCTCTGAGTGTAAAATGAGAAACCAACCCTAGGTGACACAAGGAGTTTTCCAGACCTGACAGCCTGTAAGTCTCTACCCGTTCCTCCCTCTCCCCACTGGCAGGGGAAAGAGGTGAGACAGAGGGCAGGGAGCTCTGGGAAGACTCCTTTGGTCCATCAGTCTCTCCTCTGGTAATTGGTGAGTCAACTGGGTTAATAAGCGACTATCTTAACTGAGCTTAAGGTTATACCAGGGAGAGTCTTTACAAGGAATGGGTCTAATTACCAAACTTAAATTATTCACATTAAAGTGTAGTTTCTCAAAAAGGTTTGACTCTCCCAAGATATATTTTCATTTCATAACGTATAAATCCTCAGAACATCCCTTAAATGGTGGCTGTCCTGGGAAAGACAGATGACATGGTCAGCTGATGGGAAGGTGTAATGGCCTTCTGGACAACTCTCCAGGCACTTTTCAACTCAACACCCTTCAACTCTACTTGTCCTCATCAACACTCCTCATCCATTCCTACTTGGTTCCTCCAAAAGCCTGACAACTGTTCTTCCTACCAGCCTGACCTCTTGCACTCTCCACTCAGCTGTAGAGCTGCTTCTGGAATGTGGATTGGATATCCTTCCTCTGATTAAAATCCATCAAGGGCTTCCCAAAGATTTCAAGATAAAGATCAAACTCCTTAGCTTAGAAAACAAGAGTCCCTGGACCCCACCCTACTTCTCCAGCTTCCACCACACATTCCCTCTGTTCTTGCTCTTCCTGGAATGTAGCTTCCTGGTCTGTGCTTTGGTCCATACCTACAACCTCCATGCCTCTTTCACTAACCCAGCCATTTTCCTTGACTTTCAAGGCTACCTGCTTTGAGAAGCCTTACTCCTCCCCAATGCCAAGTTGGGAGATCTAGATCCACATCATCGTGCTTGTTTCTATCACAGGAGTGGAAAGAATGCAGGAAGCTGGGCAATTTTAGGAAACTTTCTCAAAGGAAACTTTATTGGGTGCATATAAAACATCTGTTGAACATTAAAAAGTTGACCTATTTTGTTAATTCGCAGAAAACTTCCTTAGTACCTGCAACTGTCCCTCAGGCACCTGACGAACAATGGCATGATGGTTCCACAGTTTCCACTTTCACCCAATTTTCTTTATTAATATTTATTTGTGTTAATGTGCTCCTCATTCTTTTTTAATGGACTTTATATTTTGCTGAGTGTTTATTCTTATGTAAAGAGTGCTCTGGGTTGCAGATTTCTATCTGGGAAAGTCATCCTCTTGGACCAAGCACACATTTCAGGTGAGACAAATAGAGAATAATGAGAGAGAAAGGGACACTGGCAACCAAGGGAATCAAGATGGGTGATTAATGGGGGGATAGAAGTTGTAGCCCGAGCACCCTCACATTTCTGTTGCAGAACTGAAAGTGATGCCATTCTTAAATTCTAGACACATACTGAAGCACTCAAATTATGCAGTATTAATACAATCTCACTTAGTGGGTCTACTTAATGTAGAAACTAAATAAAAACATACCCAGATTGAAAAAAAAAACCACTGATATAAAGCCCCAAATACAAACATTCCAAAGGAACAGGTATTTTAAATGGAAGTGAGGACACAAGACTGAAGATTCTGTATCACACTAAGAACTGAGCCAGCTCCTCGGGAGCAGGACTCTTTCTCATCTTTTTCCTTGTAAGGTCTTCTTAGTAACTCTTCTTTCCCCAGGAAAGGCTTATTGGTTACTCTGTAATAATTTTCCTACCTGGCAGAAGATCTGAATTAAAGATCCTCATCTGCTTTGATAATTTATGTAATCATGAATGAGGAACTGGTTAAATAACACTGATGAAATGTGGCCAATACTTCACATGCCTAAAGACAAAGAGCTGGACCAGACCATCTTCTGAGGTTTCATCCCAAAATTAAGCTCTCTAATCCCATGGATAGCATCCAGGAGCAAAAACTCTCCAAAGAAGAAAGTTTAATCAAGTAAAGAGACAGGAATAGAGACAATCTGAGTCATCAAGAACTAAGATTTCTGGAAACATAAAACAAGAAATATTTCTATATAACAAGTTTAGGATTACTTTATCTTCATTCTCCTTTTTAGTAATTCAGCATTAACTTTTGAAAACTCAAATTTTATTCTCAAAGAAATAAATATCTGAAAAACATTGTAAATAAAATTAACTTAAATTTTTTAATTTTTAAAAACCCATGTTTGGGAACACTATAACAAATGTTACTATCTACTTGAGTTAGATATTGCATTTATGCTGAAATCAACTCTTTACAGTCCAAACTTAGAAAGCACTTAAATTTGGATTGGAAATGTCTGCATACTGAGCAATACTTACACATGTATGAATAACACTATTGTTCCTTTTCTTTATTTCCTAAATTTAACCCTAGTTTGAATTTTCTTTCAGAAATGTACTGTTTGTAAGATTAAACTACTAATTTTAAAATTGAAGAATAAAAGATGAGCCATAATAACAGTAAAAGTTGAGATTGTATATTTCACTGTTACACACTGCCACCTAGCAGGAAACCAGCAAACAAAGAGTTACTACAGCAATTTCAAAAATGGAGCAGAGTTGGATGATCCTCTGACGTTAGGACATTGCCTCTGGCTTGCAGGCAGGAGAAGAAAGTTCTAAAATTGAGGCTAGGGTGCTGTCCAGATTGGTGGCTCGGCAGCGTTACTGTGCAAACACCTGGCTGCTTATTCAGTGTAGCTAGCCAGGACCCACCTGAAAGACCTCTGTCTGAGAGACCATGGTGGACCAGGGAGAAACAACGCCCTCACTGTAGTGTGACTTCACTAACAAGCGCAAGATTGGTCACGAGCTCCTGGGGTGTCTCATCTTAAGAGAAGGAGAATACGAAAGAGGAATGAGGTCCTGAACACCAACTTGCCATATTCAAAATTGCACCCGGCCAGAGTGCATGCATTCCACAAATTAAATTAACAATCCAAGTCACGACATGCATAATACTACCCAACTATTCAGAGAAATGTGGCAGTGAGTAGGGGGCACGTGTTGGAGCTGTGGTATTATGAAAAACAGTCATTTTGCGTGGCATTTGCTACATATTAAAGAATCATTAAAACATGCCCAGAAAATGTCTTAAAATCACACCCAAGTTATTTCTATATCTTACACAAATGAGTTCCATTCTGAGGGCGCTAATCGGGCACAAAAATACCTAAGAAATGGCTTGCATATTGAGGACCAAAGCCTGCAGTTCTGGGGGCTCTCCCAGCGTATTTTCTCCATTAAATACACAATGTTCTCTACAGCTGAAAAGTCAGAATCGCTACTACTTCAGCACACAATTCTAGCAACAAGTGATTTTCGGTGAAGGCATAGAGAAGGAGGAAGACATTCAGAATTCACACACGAAGAGTTAGGTTCTCGGATTGGTGGGGCGGGGAAGACGGTGGCAGACGGGGGGGCACGTGAAAACCTCGGTTCCCAGGCGGCGGCGGCGGCGGCGGCGGGCACCCGCGCGCCTCCCCGGGCTCCCGCGGAGCCGCCTGCGCCCCACTCGCGTCCCACCTGCACTTTTTCAGCAGCCAGACAGGCTGAAATCTCAGGCAGCGTCTCTGGAAAGTGCTGCCCAAGGTTTCCCTAGACAGGCTTGGACTGTCGTCGAGCACACAACTCCGTCTTTCTCTTACACACACTCCCTTCTGGGCACAAAGAGGAGGTTTCCTCCGGCTCTGAGTCCGGCGGGCAGCGTCCCGGCTTCCACGGGCATCAGAAAAATGTTTCTTTTTGTTTCTCCGCATCAAGATCTTGCCCCCACCAAGCTATCACTCAAGCCAGGAAAGACCCAGGCCTTCCCACTCACCTCATCCCGGTGGAGGAGGCCGCCCCGCTGATCGCGGCCCGGCGGTTTTTCACTTTCAGTTTGCGCCCCGCCTGGGCTCAGGCGAAGACTCGGAAAGGAGACCTGGGACAGGCGGGATCACTCTCGGCGCGTCCAGGCCCGGCGATCCTGGATCCAGGTTTTCACTGATGCCCCGTTTAAAAGCGAGCGGGACCGTGGTTCGATGGAACACGGGCCAGCCTCTCACTCGCGAGCCCGAGGCGCGCAAACCCTGCAAGTTCCTGGGAGCTCCTGAGACCTGCTGCTGAAGCAAGTCAGAGCACACCTTCTGCTTGTGTAAGTCCACAGTCTGGCCTCACTTAAGGGGGTTACGTACTGAGAAATGCATCATTAGGCGAGTTCCTGATTGTGCGAACATCATAGAGTGTACTCACACAAACCTAAATGGTATAGCCCACTACACACCTAGGCTATATGGTACTAATCCTATGGGACCACCGTGGTATGTGCGGTCCATCTGACGTGGTCGCCACTCAGTCTCGCGTGCCCCTACTTAATCGCCTCTGGCTGGGAGTGAAGGAATTTATCTCAGGAGGTGATCAATGACTTGAATCTCCTGCCTATGTGTTCCTTGAGGGAAACTTTACCTTGGAATGCAACGACACATCTCATTCATCCGCCCTCATGCCCTAATCTTTGAGGCTAACCAGACCACCTAATACGTTCTCTTTTGACATTTCTATAGAATAGTAAAATAGCTAGAAATCATATATAATGGCCCCGGATGGACACTTCCATGCAGCAGCTCTTTACTGCCCATGCATCCTGTCCCCATGCTGAACACAAAATAAAGGTGCACGAACGAGGGGCTCACGTCTGAAAATTATTTTTCAACTCACGACTGAGTGGCCCCACGTCACATCGTTGACCGGAATGTCTCTATGCCACGCTTGTACTAAGACTGGAGCACATTCAAAATCCTTTGGGAAAACTGAGAACTTTTTAAGCAAAGCAGAGGCTGGGTGCCTTTAATCAGGTACCAGTGTTTGGTAGACTGAGCAGGAGATCATTTAGTTTTATTTTACTAGCAAAGAAAAACTGACTGACTTCCAGCTGAGTTCCAAATTCAGATAACCCAACTAAAATTATTTTGCCCTACTCTAGATAGGAGGCGATAAACCTGGGGAGGTAATTCAAGACCTTGGGAGGGCCAGGACTCCAGTGAGGCAGGAGCCTGAGAGCGATTGCTGCCCTGGGCCTGCCTCACTCAGGGCCTGGCCTTGACAGCTCCAGTGCCCAGCACCTCGAGTAACTTTTCGCTAAAAACCGGTTGATAATAATGGTATCAACTTCTAGAAAACACCAAACACAAAGGGAAAGATTGATAAATTGGATATCAATAAAAGTAAGAAATTCTGTTCTTCACAAGACTCTATTAAGAGAATGAAAACCATCTGCAGAGTAGAAGATATTTGCAATAGATTTATCTAACAAAGAATTCATATCCAGAATATAGCAAGAACTCCTACAAGGCAATAAGAAAGAAAAAATCCAATAAAAAGGGAGAGGAAAGGGACCAAACACTTATACAGCACTTCACCAAAGAGGAATCCGAATAGCCAAGAAGTATGTGAAAAGATATGCAGCTTCTTTTCTCATCAGGGAAATGCAAATTAACAAGATCGTGATATGATATACTACCACTCACCCACCAAAATGGCCACAGATTTTTAAACTGACAATAGAAAGCAAAGACAAAGCTGTGAGCACATGGAACTCTTATGCATTGTTGGTGGGAATGTAATTGTTACAGCCACGTTGGAAAACTGTCTATCAGTATCTATTAGAGCTAAATATGTGCATGTTTTATGACCCACAAATTCCACTCGTACAAAAGAAGACAGATCTAAAATCGGTAATCTAAGCTTCCACTGTAGGAAACTAGAGAAAGATGAAAAAATTAAATCCAAAGTAAGCAGAAGAGAAGAAATAATAAAAATTAGAGTAGAAATCAATGAAATTGAAAGCAGAGAATTAACAGAAAAACCAATGAAACCAAAAGCTGGTTCTTTGAAAAGATCAATAAAATTGATAAACCCTTAGCTAGGCTAACCAATAAAAAGCAAGAAGACACAAATTACTAATATAAGAAACAAAAGAGGGGCCATCACTACTGATCCGATAGACATTAAAAGGATAATAAAGGTCAAAAGAAGAAGATAACAAGCCACAGATTGGGAGAAAATATTGGCAAAAGATATATCTGATAAATATGTGTTATGGAAAACATAGAAAAAACTCTTAAAACTCAACAATAAGAAAGTAAACGGCCCAATTATAAAATGAGCAAAAGACCTGAACAGACAAAACCAAAGATATACAGATGGCAAATAAGCATGTGAAAAGATGCAAATTAAATCAACAATGAGACACCACTACACATCTATTAGAAAGGCCAAAATACAGAACAAGACAACACCAAACGCCCATGAGGATGTGGAGTGACAGAAGCTCTCATTCATTGCTGGTGGGAATGCAAAATGTACAAGACTTTGGAAGACGTTTTGACAATTTCTGGATTTCCCTCAGAGGGAATTGCTCGACGTGTAGCTATATATTCAGTGTGTCCATGGGAGGAGGGAAATTCAGGAGCCTCCTGTGTTGCCATCCTTGTGATATCCTGCATTAGCTTTTTTTTAAGCATTATGCCCATTCACTGGTGGTCTTGTGTCATCACCAGATGTTACCAATCCTAGATCTGTGATATTTAAATCAACATATTTTGGATAAAGACAAAAGTTAAGCAGGATTAAATAATTTGCATCATCTTTGTTGTTTGACAGTGATCTGAATTACATGTGTGAAGACAGAAGACAAAAGTAATGGTTTCCCTGACACTAGCATTTTATCAGAAGCTGGATGGCTACTTATCATGGACATTATAAAATGCATTAATATACAAGTATAGACGGGACCTGACAACTTCTAAAGTGTCTCCTAACTAACTCTAAAGAGTCTCCTATGACTCAATAAAGGGACTTAGTTAAAAACAAAGACCCAAACTATATAACAAGTGGTTGCTCTAATTACAGATTGATTACAGAAATGGTCCTAATTCTTCATCCCTCTCTGTATCCACTCCTTTTGCAATGTGACTTTGAAGCTCCCCATCAAAAAGTGGAGTTTCTTTCCCCATCCCTGGATCCAGGTTGGCTTTGTGACTTGCTTTGGCCACAGAATGTGGTAGAAGTGACAGGTTGCCAGTTCCGAGCCCAGGCCTCAATATCCCTTGCATGCTTCAATTCCTTTTATTGGAACCCTGCCCAGCTGCCAACAGAACAATCCCACGATGACCTTCTGGACAATGAGGGACAATGACTCACTCACTCCTGTTACCCCGTCAATAGCCAGCCAACTGTAAGACATCTGAGTGAGGCCATCCTACACCAGTCAGCCACAAGCCAATCCACCAGCTGACTGCAGGCACATGAGCAAGCCCAGGTCAGATCAGCAGAGTCTGGCCCACATCAGCAGAACTACTGATCTGACTTGTAGAAACAGGAACAATAATAAACGCTCGCTATTTTAAGCCACTGACTTTGAGAGAGGTGTGTTACACAGCAATAGCTAACTGATACAGAAATTGATATCTAAGAGTGGGCTGCTGCTGTAAAAAAAAAAAAAAAAGGCATTGGTCTTGGGACCAGGTGGTAGGCAAAGATTGAAAAAGCAATAAGAAAACTGTTATAGAAAACTGGAAAAATGATGACACATGTTATGTAGTAGCAAAATATTTGGTAAAAGTATCATCTATAGTAACTTGGAAGATACAAAACATACCTAATGAACTTGTATACCTGGATGAAATGACTTCCAGGCAGAATGCTAAAAGTGTCAGTTTGCATTTGTTAGCTGCATATTATAAGGTAATGCCAGAAAGAAAGAAGCTAAGCAGGGGAGGGGGGAAGGCCACTTTACAGGCAGAATTTAGGGGGAAAATAAAGGAATCAAAATTTAGCAGATTGGAAAATAAAACTGGTTCTCAACTCCAGTCTCCACAACCAGTAAAAGATCCTCAAGATGAGATCGGAAGATCTGTAGTTAAGACTCTAAAAGAGTTAAGATGGTACCTAGTAGATCTTTTCAGCCAAACAAAAGATCAGTGAAAATCACAAAGATGTCCTTCCACAGCAGCATGACACACCCAAACTAGCCCCAATTAAGGTTGGAGAGAGAAGTTTGTCTGAAAAAATTATGTGTATGGCTTTTGTCCAATGAAGATTCCACATAGCTCACAAAGTTTTTAAAATTGTACGTGGTGAAAGTGCTCCTAACTTGGACTAAAAGGGACTGAAATTGTTCTAATCGTAAAAAACACTTCTGAGCCCCCATGCTTCTGGGCAGGACACAGATTAAGAAAGGTACTCAACTATCGACATGAGCCATTTCTTCAGAAGTAGTCAAGGAGGAGGATGGAAAACAAAGGTGCCTTAGAGAGTCATGCCAAGAGCTTTGGAGAGCAAGAAACCGTTCTAGAAACATGGTTTCCTAGAAAGCAGAACTGGTCCCTGACCAGGGAACAGTCCCTGCCCCTGGAGTAGAGAGACTGGGCAACATCTGCCAGATGGGATTTCAGAACCACTGTGGGGCAGGGACTGCTATGTGCTTACTGCTAGGTACGAACATCTATAATTGAATGTCTAGTGAGCATACAAAAGTTAATATGACCAAAATTCAACTCGTGCCTCCTTTAAAATCTGCTCCTCATTCAGCTTTCTCTATCTTCATAAAGATACCACTCTTTACCCAGTAGTTCAAGCCAAAATCCTTGGCGTCATCCTTGATTCCTCTCTTTCTCTCACTTCTCTCATCTAATAGATGAGGGAATGCTGGCTCTATCTTCAAAGTACATCCTGAATTCCACCACCTCTCATGACTTCCAGTGTCACCACCGCAGCCCGACCCATGTCACCTTGACTACTGTAATACCCTCCCAGCAGCTCTCCCTGCCTCCACACTTGCCTCCACGTGACAGCCAGTGACCCTTTTAAATCATAAATCAGATCATGCCAATATTCCTTTCAAAAATATCCATTTAGAATCATGAGCTATAAGTTCTTGTATGCTCTAGCTTTTGGCTACCTCTTCAGCTTCATTTCTCACTTTTTAAGCTTTTAAACATAAACTAGCCTGTCATCATGCATGATTTGTAATTAAAAAATATGTATTTCTCATTTTAAGGATGTTTCTACATTCTGCATTTCCATTTGAAGTTCTCACACTTTAGGGGAAAAATTTGCTAAGAGTCATTTCTAAAATGTGGTAGCAAGTCAAGATTACTCACCAAAAAACTGTTAGAATAAACAAATTCAGTAAAGTTGCAGGATACAAAAATCAGTATACAAAAATCTGTTGCATTTCTATACACTTACAACGAACTATCAAAAAGAGAAATTAAGAAAACAATCACATTTATAATTGCATCAAAAAAATAAAATACCTAGGAATAAATTTAACCAAGGAGGTGAAAGACCTGTACACTGAAAACTATAAGACACTGATGAAAGAAACTGAAGAATATACAAACAAATGGAAAGATATTCCATGCTCATGGATTGGAGGAATTAATATTGCTAAAATGTCCATACTACCCAAAGCAATCTATAGAGTCAATGCAATCCCTACCAAAACTCCAATGGCATTTTTCACAGAAATAGAACAAATAATCCTAAAATTTGTATAGAACCACAAAAGACCCTGAATAGCCAAAAGCAATCTCGAGAAAGAAGAACAAAGCTGGAGGCATCGCACTTCCTGATTTCAACTATATTACAAAGTTATAGTACTCAAAACAGTATGGTATTGACATAAAAAACAGAAATACAGAAGAATGGAACTGAATAGAGAGCCCAGAAATAAACCCACATATATATGATCAATTAATTTATGACAAAAGAGCCAAGAATATACAATGGGGAAAAGACAGTCACTTCAATAAATGGTGTTGGGAAAACTGGACAGTCACATGCAAAAGAATGGGTCCTTAAGGTCTGCACTGAGTTCTTAATTTTCTTTTCCTTTGCGAGGAATATCAGCCCTGAGCTAACATTCAATGCCAATCCTCCTCTTTTTTTCTTTTCTTTCTTTCTTTCTTTTTTTTGCTGAAGAAGATGGGCCCTGGGCTAATATCCACACCCATCTTCCTCTACTCTAGATGGGATGCCACCACAGCATGGCTTGACAGCAGTGCGACAGTGTGTGCCTGGGATCCGAACCTGAGAACCGTGGGCCACTGAAGCGGAGCACGCGCACTTAACCGCTGCACCACCGGGCCAGCCCCACGTGCCAAAGAATGAAACTAGATCCCTATCTTACACCTTACACAAAAATTAACTCAAAATGGATTAAAGACTTGACTGTAAGACCTGAAACCATAAAACTGCTAGAAGAAAACATAGGCAGTAAGCTCCTTGACATCGGTCTTGGCAATGACTTATTTGGATCTGGCATCAAAAGCAAAGGCAACAAAAGCAAAAATAAACAAGTGGGACTACATCAAACTAAAAAGCTTCTGCATAGCAAAGGAAACCATCAGCAAAATGAAAAGGCAGCATACTGAATGGGAGAAAATATTTTCAAATCATATATCTGATAAGGGGTTAATATCCAAAATATGAACATATATAAATATATATAGTGAATTATATACTTTATATTAAATATTATATTATGTTATAATAATATAATTATATTATATTATAATATATTCTATATATAATTATATATAAAATATATAATTATATTATATATATAAAATATAAATAAAGAACTCATACAACTCACAGAAAAAAACAAACAATCCGATTAAAAAATGGGCAGATCTCAGACAGAGAAAGACAAACATCGCATGATTTCACGCATATGTGGAAGATAAACTTACACACGGACAGAGAGAACAGTTTGGTGGTAGCCAGGGGGAAGGGGTTTGGGAGGTGGGCCCAAGGGGTGAAGGGATGCATTTATATGGTGACTGACAATAACGTACAACTAAATGTTCACAATGTTATAAACAGTAAGACATCATCAACAACAACAAAAAAAGGCAGATCTGAAGACGTTTTTCCAAAGAAGACGTACAAGATGGCCAATACGTACATGAAAAGATGCTCAACATCGCTATCATCAGAGAAATGCAAATCAAAACCACAGGCGGGGCTGGCCCGGCGGCCTAGCAGTTAAGTTCGCGCGCTCCACTTCGGCAGCCCAGGGTTAGCTGGTGTGGGTCTACTCACTGCTCATCAAGCCATGCTGAGGCGGCGTCCCATATAGACGAGCTACAACCCTGCAACTGTGATACACAACTAGGTACTGGGGCATTGGAGAGAAAAAAGAAAAATAAAAAGAGGAAGACGGGCAACAGATCTTAGCGCAGGGCCCATCTTGCTCAAAAAAAAAATTTAGTATTATAATAATAAATGCTTGCTTTGTTGTAAAAAAAGAAACCCACATGAGATATCACTTCACACCTACTAGAATGACTATTATTAAAAAGACAAGAAATAATAAGTTTTGGCAAGAATGTGGAGAAAAGGGAACCCTCGTGCACACTATTGATGGGAATGTAAATTGATGCAACCACTGTGGAAAACAATATTGAGGTTCCTCAAAAAATTAAAAATAGAACTATCATATGACCCAGTAATTCCACTTCTGGGTATTTATCTGAAGAAAACAAAAACACAAACTCGAAAAAATATATGCACCCTCATGTTCATTGCAGCATTATTTGCAATAGCCAAGATACAAAAACAACCTAAGTGTCCCTCAGTGGATAAGGAAAATGTGGTATATCTATCTATCTCATCTATCTATCTATCTATCTATCTACACACAATAGAATATTATTCAGCCATATAAAAAGAATGAAATCTTGCCATTTGCGACAACATGAATGGACCTTGAGGGCATTATGCTAAGTGAAATAAGTCAGACAGAAAAAGACAAATATTGTATGATCTCACTTATATGTTGAACTTAAAAAAAAAAAAAACTAGCTAATAGATACACAGAACAGATTGGTGGTTGCCAGGGTTGGGAAGGATTAGGGGCATGAAATGGGTGGATGGGGGATAAAATCAGTGAAGGGGGGGTCAAAAGGTACAAACTTCCAGTTATAAAATAAATAAAGTCAGGGGGATGTAATGTACAGCATGGTGACTCAGTTAATAATACTGTGTCGCATATTTAACAGTTAGTAAGAGAATAGATAAAAGTTCTCATCAAAAGAAAAACAATTGTGGGGCCGGCCCGGTGGCGCAAGCGGTTAAGTGTGTGCGCTCCGCTGCGGTGGCCCTGGGTTCGCTGGTTCGGATCCCGGGCGCGCACCGACGCACTGCTTGGCAAGCCATGCTGTGGCGGCGTCCCATATAAAGTGGAGGAAGATGGGCACAGATGTTAGCCCAGGGCCGTCTTCCTCAGCAAAAAAAAAAGAGGATTGGCGGATGTTAGCACAGGGCTGATCTCCTCACAAAAAAAAAAAAAAAAAAGAAAAACAATTGTAACTATGTATGGTGACAGATGTGAACTAGATTTATTGTGGTGATCCTTTTACAATATATACAAATATTGAATCGCTATGTTGTACTCCTAAAACTAATATGTCAATTATATCTCAATTAAAAAAAAGATTATTCACAGGACTCAACTGTTGGTAGTGAGCAGGGAAGCAGTGTTATACTAAATCAAACAAAAAATACACCACTTTGCCTCCTTAAAACAATTCGGGGAGTGTGGTGAGTATTGTCTAGCTTTTGATTTCTTCCCCATTGTTTTAAACTTGATTTTACTAACATAAAAGGGCATGTGTATGTATAATATGACTTTCGTCTAGGTCTCTAAACCAGTCTTGCATAGGGCAGTAGGCTAGTGAGAATAATCACTATTTTTTATGAAGCAATGTAAACTATGCGTTTGACATACCTCTAGCCCTCACATACCTGCATTTTTCAAATGGGAAGCAGTTTGATAAAGGTTAAGTGACTTGCCCCCCAAAAAAGGGCACTTTAAAAAAAGTCACTTAAAAAAAAAAGATATTTAGCAAACAGCAGTTGTTTTTTATAACCTGTTTGGCTCCAAAAACCAGTGCTAAATCAGTGCTTTCCAACAGGGTGGTTCTAATTCATAGTTTTCACCTGCATGCAGCGAAATTGCATTATTTATGACACTGAATTATTTTATAATGTGATATACAAATTAAGAGCCCATCCTTATTCTGAGATCGTGCCTTTCCTACTCTTTTAGTATTAAAAGACCTTTCTTTTGAAAAACGGTATGAGCTAGCATAGGTTTTTCCTTTTTCCCCCGTCAAAATGAAAAGCAGGAAAAAGTTGTTATTCTTTCAAAAAATTTTTTGAAATAGTGTCTGATTTATAAATTTCAAAAGTCAGGACCCAATGCTGCGCCAAACAAGAGTGCCTGGGGGGCGGGGAGTGAGTGAGGGAGCGGCAGGCGCGGCAGCGGGGTCTCAGGTCAGCGAGGGCCGCGTCTGAGCGCCACAGGCCGGGCGAGGGAGGACGAGCCGCGCCCGCGCCGAGCGCCCCGGGGGCAGAGACGGGGCCGGCGGGCGGGACACGCCGCCAACACTCAGCGGCCGTCACGAGCCGCGCGGTGGACACGGTTGCGCCCGGCGTCCTCGGCCTCCGCGCTCCAGGATCCGGCCGACTCCTGCGCGGGGCTGCACCGGGCCATTAGCCGGGTTTACAGTCCAGGGTGAGCCCGGCGACAAGCCGAAGGCGGCGTGAGCGCTCGGTGACACTCGGGACGTGCCACAAACGCGGAGGCGCGCGCGGAAGTCAGACCGCCAGGGGGCGCTGTGCAGGTCCGAGAAATCAGAACTCTCGCGATAGGTGAGGCTAGGCTTTCCGGAAGTGATTCGCCGGAAGAAGCGTGGCTGCTCTCCTGATCTGTCAAGGGTGTGCACGCTGAACCGCCGGCGACATGCAGTCAGATGATGTGAGTCTCCTCTTGCTCTGCCACCCGGGGTCTACGCAGGGTGCCTCGCCCGCTTTAGGCGACTCAGAAGCCGCATACGCAGCTGGCCATTTCCTCGTGTCGCTCCGGAAGCGAGGCTTCCAGAACCCCGGCTGCGGGGCTCTCACGTGTCTACCCGGGACCTCCAGCCCGCTGCCCCGGCGGGGCTGAGGAGCCAGACCACCCCCACCTCAGTCCGCAGGGTCGGCGTGTCCAGTCCTCGGTGCCTAGCTGTGAGGGACCTTCGTATGGGTCCTTGGGGACTCGGGCGGTGGAGGGGCGGGGGTCGGAACGGCGAAGTTTAGACGTCCAGTTAAGGATCCTTTTCCTCCATCTGCACGTTACTTTTCGGTCTGCTTTTTCTGTTAGGTTTTTCTTTACATTTGCTCTACTCTCTGCCCAGGTCATACTTTCGGAAGCATCTTAGATTCATTCATTTAGTTATTTGCTGGAGAAATACTGAAATGCTTACAGTGCGCACGGTGGTAATGACTGGAGATTTGGTGGTTAATAAGCCAGACAAACGACCTCTGCTTTCCTGGAGCACACTGGTGGGGGAGACATATAGTAAACAAAGGAACAAATAAATGAAAACAATTGCACTTTGTAGTAATACTATGAAAGAAAGACCAGGGGTAATGACAGAGTAATGGGGAGACCATTTTAGATAGGGCTGATCAGGGAAGGTTTCTCGGAATAGAAGATATTCGAGCTGAGACCTAAAAGATGAGAATGAACCAGGCACTGAGGGGCTGAGGGAAAAGCAGTCAATCCAGGCAGCAGGAACAGTCAAGTACGAAGATCTGGAGGTAAGAGAGAAGGAATGTAATAGAGGACACCAATGTGACGTGTTAGAGGAATCAAGGGAAGACAGAAAGGTAATGAAGTTGGCTATGCTTGCCAGGGCAAGGTCATGTAGAGTCTTGTAGGAAGTGTTTTTAGGGCTTTTAATGGGAAATGACATCTGATTTATGTTTGTGACAAGTTCTGTAGTTGTGTGAAAGGCTTTTGAAGGAGAGAAAGACTGAAAGCAAGGAAACTGGCGTAGGATGAAAGTAGCTTCAGCTAAGGTAGTAATGATGGAGATGGAAAGAAGTGGATGATTTGAGATCTGTTTTATCAGCATAACCGACAAGACCTGGTGATGGATTAAGTGAGGATGAAAAAGGAGAAATCAAAGCATTTTGGATGTGAACAGATAGTCCAATGGTGGTTTCATTTATTGAGATGTGAAGACTAGGGAAAGAACAGGGTATTCTTTTGAGAGGTGTGGAATAGAGAGCTCCGTGTGGACACGTGTCTGAAGCCTTTTACACATCCGAGCTGGAGGTGTCAAGTAGGCAGCTGGATATATATACAAGTCTAGTGCTCAGGAGATGACAATTTGGGAGTCATCAACTTAGAGATGATATTTAAAGCCTCAAGCCAGAATGAGCAGGAGCTCTCCAGTTTCATTTCCTCTTACCTGCTTCCTACCACCCCGCCTTACCGCCCCAACAAACACATATCTTATAAAATTCCCCAAACACTGCTCCATTCTTTAACACTTCTGTGTGTTTTTCCCTTTAACTGCTTTAAAGCCTCTCCCAGTTCCTCAAAGCAGCTCAGCAAAGGCTCTCATACTCTTAGGCACCTCTGTTGTGGCCCTTAGAATGCTGCTTTGTGATGCCTTGCTTACATATTTTTCTCCTTAACTAGAGAGAGAAAACTCTTTAAGGACTACACCGTCCTTCAGCCAACAAATGCTTGAGTGCCTCCTGTGTGTCAGGACTCAGGGAAGTCAATGCCTTACATAAATTGAGTTACAATAAATGCTAAATGAATAGAGCATATTGGTGAGTGGAGGATAGCAGTAGGTGATTTTCCTTGTCTTCAGTGAGATAAAATTATGGTATGTATATCCAAAAATCTAGTAACTGTGTAGCCTTTAATGATGGATAATGAACATATTAAATAAAAAAGGAAAGTTAAAAAATATATATAACATGATCTCATTTTTGCTAAAAATTTACACAGCCATACTGGTGGAGTGTACACAGAAAAAATTTGAAAAATATTTACAAAATGCTAAATAAATTTTATCTCTGGGTAATGAGGTTCTGTTTATTGCTAATTTGTATTTACTTTTTCTATAAGAATCTATTATTTGTAAAAACAAGAAAAATATTTGTAAAAAAAAAGAAAACATGTCAAAAACTATTTTACAAAGAATGTCTTCCTCATCTCATTCCTCAAAGACTCCTTTCTTCAGTAAAGCAGAGCACTCCCCTAGAGCATTATTTTTTTGGATTAATATGCCATCTGTTGGGTCAGAACAATTGAAATGTGTTTTTCCTTTGTCTTGCAGGTTATCTGGGATACACTAGGAAACAAGCAATTTTGTTCCTTCAAAATAAGGTGAGTCTAGATTTGCATCTTGGACAAATTCCTTCAGTTGCCCTCTTGGTAATCCATCTTCTAAGTTTTGCTTTTTTCCTCCCATTCTAGAACCAAGACTCAGGGCTTTTGCAGAAATGAATACAGCCTGACTGGACTGTGTAATCGGTCATCCTGTCCCCTGGCAAACAGTCAGTATGCCACTATCAAAGAAGAGAAAGGTAACTCCCTGGGTTTAACTTCCATGAGAACTAGTCAACAGCTTTTAAAAGGATATTCTTCAGTCTCTCTGTAAATAATATTAAAGGTATTTACTTCATCCTGCAGGACAGTGCTACTTGTATATGAAGGTTATAGAACGAGCAGCTTTTCCTAGGCGTCTCTGGGAACGGGTAAGACCTGGGACATACAACTACATGTCCATACATTGGTTGTATTGATCAGGAGCACAGATGCCACATGCTCTTCTCTCCTAGATTAAACTTTTGAAGCCATCCTCATTAGGCCCCATAGGTGTCGTTAACGGTGAAGACCTAATCATTTACCCTTGCCCTTCAAGCTTCCTTTTTCTGTTTGATAGGTCCGGCTTCATAAAAACTATGAGAAAGCACTGGAGCAAATAGATGAAAATCTAATTTATTGGCCCCGTTTCATTCGACACAAATGTAAGCAGAGATTCACCAAGATCACCCAGTACCTAATTCGAATTCGAAAACTTACACTAAAGCGACAGTAAGTATTTAGACCATTCATTTATTTATTTTTAAATCTATCTTTCCATGGATCATATTATAAAGCTGAGACATTGTGAAACCTCTGTTAATGCTTTCTATTAAATTCAACTTTGGGTAATCTCTTATGATATGCTAAGAAGAAACTACTTCAGATTAAAGTTGTGCCCTTTGATTTCCCAGGATTTTTATTTATTTTTTTGCTGAGGAAGATTTGCCCTGAGCTAACAACTGTGCCAGTCTTCCTCTATTTTGTATGTGGGTTGCCACCATAGCATGGGTGACAAGTGGTGTAGGTCCGCGACCAGGATCCGAACCAGTGAGCCCAGGCCACCGACGCGGAGCGCGTGGAACTTGAACCACTCGGCCACGGGGCCAGCCATCTCCAGGATTTTTAAAACAGTTTAGTACAAGTTGATTTTCCCCTGTCTGAAAATCAGCTTCAGAAAATTTTGTTTATAACCCCTTGAAAGAATCTTAAAATTAGGGATTTGAAAATGACCTAAAAAATGTGAATAAACAAGAATGTAAGAACTTTACTCTAGATTCATTGAAAGCTAATTTTAAAAAGTGATAAGAAATCCACAGAATTAGCTGAATACCTTCGTAAGGAGTGTTAGGCTCTAATGTTTTTCCATTGTGACCTACAAAAAATTCCTTTTTCTTAGTTCACTGAAGCATTAATCTTAGCATAGTAAATGCCCTCCAAAGTCTCAGAATGCCTAAAGAAAACAAAAACAGCCACATTAAAATATATGTAAGAATGTCTGACTTCTTATAGCATTAAATTTCTAGAAAATTTTAAATATATTATCTTGCTGTATTGAGCTGAGCCCTACAAAATCAATTCCAATCCATTTTTTTGTCTCACTTTTTTAAAGGAATACATAGCACATGTACTTGGATTTTCTGATATGTTTTATTTCCTGTAGGAGGAAGCTTGTTCCTTTGAGTAAGAAGGTGGAGCGGAGGGAAAAAAGAAGAGAGGTAACTTATTCTGATATTTATAGCTTCTCTATTTTCATTGAGGGTAGGGCCATGTAGGCAGGGCTCACAAGAAAGAGTCAGTCACCATTGTCTTTGCACTGTTCTGGCCCTGGATAATGGTTCACTAATGGATAAGAGTTGCCTAAGATATCTGATTTTCCATATCTTAAGGTTGTGACTTTCAGGGCAGGTTAAAATATGGGTGCTTTGGGGATATATGTAATGGAGAACAGAAAGAATACCTTAAATAGAGATCCACAACTCCTTGTCTGAAATTCTTGAGGTCAAATGTTTCAGAATTGAGAATTTTAATATGTGGCCTATGTTATATATATTACCCTCAGCAGGGTCTGAGCATTCTGATCACACACACACCAGTAGTTCTGCAGTGAAATACAAGAATGTTCACACTAGATGGAATTTTTAAAAGCTGTTAAGTAGCCTCATGTTAGTTCAGGTCATATTTGGCCACTCAATTGAGTTTTTTGGATTTTGAAGTTGCTGGTAAGGAATTGATCAGGATCATTTGTTTCTTTGAAGTAAACTGGGCAGCGTTATTACTAAAGTAATGAACGGTGATGGTAATACTGTGCTCTCCATGGAAAATCTAGTCAGGAGACTCTAGCCTTTGTTGTAGAAAGCAGTCTGCCTCTCCACCTCAACTGGGGCCTCACTCAAGCTGAATTTTCTTATGCTTTTCAAGACCCAGGAATTAGCTTTTCCTGACAAGTTAAGATTTTCAGTCATTCTAGGGATTTGCTTTGTTTACCTCCCTTCCACTAACAGACATTTGCCTGATCATTTGTCATGTCCTATCAAGAAATAGTCTTAATAATCTTGATGCTTTTGTTCCCGTTAGTCACATAGATTTCTGTATCGTAAATCTATTATATCATTGGTCTCCAAACTTTTTTGATCACTCAAACATCAAAAAAGTTTTGGACATACACTCCCCAATATATTATTTATAAATGTTATTATACATGTATATATTATAAATAGTAGTTTGTGATGTCATGAAATGAAGATTTAGTTCTTAACTGAGTATAAATTTGTCTTTAAGGGCCCTCATAAGTGACAGATGTCTCAGAGATAAATAGAGAAGTGCACCGTTGAGTGTCTGCATTAAGTACTTGCTTTTCATTTTTCATTCACCACCACTAGTTATGTACAAGTTTTTATTCGAATATGGCTAGTGAGTTTTCATCTTCCTTGACTGTCAAACAGGTGTTCTTGCAAACCTTTCAGAAGAAAGTAAATTTTTCTATTTTTACCAAATAAGTTTGAAGTCCTCTGAAAAATGTAGATTTGAAAGATTTTTAAATAGGTTGGAAAATTCTGTTTCCAAATTTTTAAAGTGTGTGATTGCAGTTTTTATGAGACATGTTTTCAGCAATGTCACATATAGATGTAATCACTTCTTTTTAAAATGTTCTATCCATAGAACAAGTTCTTTTTTTCAAAAAACAATTTCTTTCAACCTCACTATTAAAATATTGCCTTTCTCTTAAAGGAACAGAGTAAGAGTATTTTTTAAAACTTCTGCTATATTACATACCACTGATATCCATTTGTCATCTTAGAAGAGGTTGGCAAATTTGGAACATTTCTCTTTTTGTGAAAAATGCATGGTTCTTTAAGTTCTACAACCCCTTTTAAGTACTAAACCATTAAATAACCAGCACACCTGTATAACTACTCCCTATCTTATTGCAAACTATTCAGTATCATCTCTAACTCCATATAATCAAGCAAACAAATAGCTATATGTTGTAATAATCTGAATAAAGGAGTGAGACCACCACTTTTGAACTCTGTGCAGTATTGCTCCCTCGGGATATCTTGTTCATTGTATCTGGCACATAAGTATTTGCTTTATGGACAGAGTCAAGGCACCAATGTCAGTATGCATAAAAAATATTAGTAGCAGTTAATTTTTTAAAAAAATAGTGAGTTTTTAATATTTTCTTCCTACATCTCAGTGGATCACCTTTGAGGTGTAAGCACCCACGTTAGAGAGTAGTATAGAACATCACAGGAGCCTTTTAACTGATCCACATGCCCCATCTCCCTGCATTGTGATTTATCCCACACACTGTTCCTCATTGTCACATAGCTTCAGTGTGTAACACTTTAAAATCCTCTATGATTTTCACTGTCAAATTACTGCACAATCTTAGGCTAGAAACATAGATTGAAGTTAGATTTTTTTTTTCCCGGATGAGGAAGATTGGCCCTCAGCTGGCATCTGCTGATGCCAGAGGAAGATGCCCATCTTCCTCTATTTTGTATGTGGGATGCTGCCACAGCGTGGCTTGATGAGTGGTGCGTAGGTCCGCACCCAGGATCCGAAACTGCAAACCCTGGGCCGCCAAAGCAGAGTGGTCAAACTTACCCACTACGCCACTGGGCCAGCCCCTGAAGTTATATTTTTCTGTTTTGGTTGTGGATGGTACAGGTTGATGCCATGTATCATTTCCTATGAGAGATCATTGAGGGAAGAGATCTCTTATCTTTTTATCTATCATGTGGAATCTAATGGGTTTTAGAAAATGTAAATAAGTAAAGGTCTTTATTCCCTTTTCTCAGCTTTTACTAAGTCTGCTTCAGGATTGCTACTTTTCTGAGACACTTAAATGTACGTAGACCTACCTGCTTTGTATATCGATCAAAGGCTTTGTTAGAATTTAATTTAGAATGCTATTTATAAAACCATAGGCATTTTTAAAATTTAACGGTTCACAAAGTTTGAGAGGGGGAAAAAGAAGAAATATATCTGGTTGGAGAGGCAGAAGCCCCAGTAATAGCAAGAGGAAAAAAGTGATTACATCTTCTCTCTTATAAAAACTTGTTGGCTTCTTCCACTTCTGCAGGCTGAAAAATGAGTCCTAATGAAGTAAATGGGTTTGCTGTTTTTTTCTGGTAGGAAAAGGCATTAATAGCTGCTCAGTTGGACAACGCCATTGAGAAGGAATTGCTGGAGAGACTGAAACAAGATACGGTGAGAAAGCTAGGAGCTTTAGGGTACAAATGTTACTTTTTAGGTGGTAATATCATACTAGGAAATGTGGAATAGTGGGAAATGTGTTGTATTTTTAAAGATGCTAGAAAGATCTTCACCTGGATTTTATTTCTGGAATAAGATAAATATCATAGCCCCTGGCTGCTTCATGTTAGTTCACTGGCACAAGCACCTGCCTTGCTTTTGCTGCCCTGATACTCCACTCAGGAGGAGAGACCTTGTCCTTTCTGCCCTCACTCACAACTCCTGTCCCCAAAAGCAACAATTCCAGATGTCTTTATAAAAGCCATACGGTTTTGATCCTATTATCTTAGTCTTTTAAGTTTTTTTTTTTTTGTGAGGAGATCAGCCCTGTGCTAAGAACTGCCAAGCCTCCTTTTTTTTTTTTGCTGAGGAAGACTGGCCCTGGGCTAACATCTGTGCCCATCTTCCTCCACTTTCTATGGGATGCCACCACAGCATGGCTTGCTAGGCAGTGCTTCGGTGCACGCCCAGGATCCGAACTGGTGAATCCCGGGCCACCACAGTGGAGCGCGCGCACTTAACCACTTGCGCCACCGGGCCGGCCCCTTAAGTTTCTTTAAAATAAATTTTATTCTCTTCTTAAGAATGTGTCACTTACAGAGAAAACATAAATAAAATTTACATTTTCCTTATTATTTCCTCTTTGTCCGCAAAACTACATTTGTTCCAATGCATGGGTTTTATACACTGCTAAATTTTAAGCAGATATGGTTCCATCCTTTATAGGAGTTATCTGTTTGGTATTAACCAGTGATTATTTAAATGTCAAAAATGGGCTTTTTTAAGACACTGCCAGCTCTAGGCTTGAAAACAATATAGAAATATTACTTATCAAATTAAGTATTCTCATTTAATCACTGAGGAAAAAGTAATAAACTCATCAGACAGTGGGCTTTATGTAAGATCCAAATGTAGTTAAAGCCAGTCTCTGTTCATGTTCTTCAGTATGGCGACATCTACAACTTCCCCATTCATGCCTTCGACAAGGCCCTGGAACAGCAAGAGGCAGAGAGTGACTCTTCAGATGCTGAGGAAAAAGATGATGAAGAAGAAGAAGAAGTAAGCCTTGTTTGTGTTTTTGTTTGTCAAGCAGTAATCGCTAAGACTAGATCTATTTTTATGTAATTGAGACACAGAATATCATTTTCTGTCCCCTAACCAAAAATAATTATTTTGGTCATTTTTTTCTATCATGAGATTAATTTTGGTTCAGTAGTGGCTGCTCTGTTCTCCACATTCAGCCAACAAACTATGCATTGACAATTTTAATCTTATTTACTGGCATTCTAAAATTTTTCCGGCAAGTTGACAAATGAAGACTCCTCATTCGCTGATGGAATATATCCTTAAGGAACCTACTGAAATTTACAAAGGGTTTAATCTTACTGTTAATATAGGAGCAGTACTTGAGTGATAGTATTTTTAGGGAAAGGGCAGATTTAGCAAGCAGGTGCTTAATCAACATGGTACACTCACATAGGTACATAGGTATAGTTTTCCTATTAGTAAACTATTTTTTGATATTTAAAATTATAGTTTTAGTTGAATGTACAAAGACTTGTTTGTAAATCCCTTCCTATATACTGATTTTAACCAATTAGAATGAAGATGTTTTACGTCTAATGATTTAAATCAGGTATGAGAATTGATATCCCTAAAATGTTTTTAATTCAAAAGTATTAAACTTGGAAATAAGTAGATTTTGATTGCCTCGATAAGTAGGCTCTGATTCTCTTTATGTTATTTATGTACTTATTTATCAAAGAAGAAAACCCGATGTCTAAGCTGAATTCATTAGGTGTTTTGAACCTAACAATATGTTTTGTTTTAGGAGGTGGGAAAAAGAGAGTTTGTGGAAGATGATGAGGTGGATGAGAGTGACATAAGTGATTTTGAGGTGAGATCTGGGTAAAAATTATCCTTTGGCCTTCAGCCAAAACCCCCCCAAAATAATGAGAGTTTCTGAACACACACACAGAGGCACATAAATTCTCTAATTTGTTCTAAATTGAGAGGATAATGGAGTTTGGGGAGTGAATCTAGTGTCTTCTCTCCTGCTTTATTTTTTCCCTCCCCATATTAGGATATGGATAAACTGGATGCCAGCAGTGATGAAGATCAGGACGATAAATCCTCCAGTGAGGAAGAAGAAAAGGCCCTTGATGCCCAACACAAAGGCAAAACACCTTTGAAAGGACCTTTGCGGAGAAAACGAGCATACGTAGAGATAGAGTATGAACAGGAGACAGAGCCTGTGGACAAAGCCAAAACTACATGATTTCCCTTCAGATATTTATGAACAGGACTGAACATTCTGAACTTCTTCCTTTCTTTATCTTAAACACATACACACCTCTAGATTTTGCTCTTTATGTTGTATTTAACACAGTATTTGTGTTTTTAATATTTATGCCACTTCTGTGGGCAAGAAATCTGGAAGGGTGTGGAGGAAAGCCTTAAATTGTGAACAGAGTATTTTTATAGCATTGGCATATGTATTGAAGTAACAGCTTGAGCCCAAGAAGCTTAACAGATGAGTTTATGGGTGTAAATATTTTAAAATTTTAAATGCTACCTGCCCCTCTTTCCCTGGTGTCCTTCCCACGTCCCCCCACCAAACTTTATTTAGAAATATCTAGACTTCAATTTTTTCTTGTTTTCCTTTCCCTACTTCTATGGGAGTAAAAGGAAAAAAAGACAAAGAAGATCTAAGTTATAGTGTTCAATGTAAAAATACCTTTTTTCCTTAAATAATTCCATTTATACAGTTGGACTAGAAAGAAAATCATTTCTTCTTTAGGAAAACAGCACAAATCTTAAGTTCCATCGCAGGGAGCGCCTTCAGAAACCTGCTGCACTTTTCTGATACAGTTCACCAGCTTACTGTCTTCACAGCTGTGGAGGATTCTGGCCAGGAGACCCTGAAACATGAAACCAAACAGGCTTTGATTTTTTTTTTGCTATTTTTTTTTCCTTTTACCTTGGTTCTTCTTTCTTGTACCATACTCAAAGAAGGAAAGAATGGATGACACTAGGGGACAGCTCACAAAATAGGTGTAACTTTAAAAACTGTTGCCATGCCTGGAAATGTCCTGCTGGCTCATGAAGCAGCAGCTTAATAGGAGCCAAGGTGAATTAGATTAGATCCAGGGCTTGAAAACTGCGTGAGATTAAAGAGCCAAGATGAAATAATCTGAATAAATAAAACAACAAATTATACTATCTCTAAATATTTTTAGGATATAAATTTCTTTTCATGCTGCTTTATAACGTTCAATTGAATATTTCTCAGTGGGGTAAGAAATGAGGCAATAGTTTATTAAATATATATAAATACACACATAGCTCTTATATGCCATGGTTTTGAGAAGTTAACTTTCATGGAATATGAGACCACAGGAAGAGTTCCCATGTGGACAAATGAAAATATGGAAAAACATAGTTGCCCCTGAAAAACTGGAACCATTTCTGGTATCTGAATTAATCTACCTATATTATTACTCCTTGGTGGCTTATAGCCCATTATTTCATCTTTTTTTTTGATTCAGATGACTAGTACAGAATTTAAATTTTACGAACTCTTCATCATGATCCTTTTGCCCATTCTCTATCTCATCCCCAGAAACATCTGCTGAACTTCTTGTCTTTTGGTCTAAACAGTTCTGACTAGCTTTAAAGGAATAATAAGGTATTGATCAAACTCTTGAAGCCTAGAGGGCTCAGGGGTGGAGACCTGAACCTTCCATGTTCATTTACAGACTTGGTCAGGCACGTAAATACTAAATTATAATCAATCATAAGAATTACCTAAAGATAACGAGACCTAACTGGAACCAAGCTGCAGACTGTCCCTTACCTTCACCTGTCCTTGAGAGCAGTGGTCCAGGAGAATCAGGCAGTCCGTGGCCTCCTCTAACAAGGCACTCTTAACAGGCTCAGGTGTGAGGCTTCGATCCCTTGCTACATCACATATCAGTTTCAAGAGAGCCTTCAGTAAGACCACAAGTCTACAGGAAACTCTGGAATCAAAAAGGAAAACTATGTTTAAACTCGAAATCAGGATATTAAGACTGAAAGAGACTTCAAAGGCCATCTAGTATAAAAGTCTTCATTTCATAAATGAAGGAACTGAAGACCACAGAGCTGAAAGCAGAACTAGAGACCAGACTCCAGATTTCTTAACTTCAAGCCCTCTACTTTTTTCTAGAACAGACTGCCCATATACACAAACACTGGCCTCCCCAAGAATACCTTGCTTCCCTCCAGAAGCTTGGTCCTATTGTAAGGAAATAGTCTCCCCTGAAAAAGGAGAACTGGGACCTTCCCTTACCAGGGGTCTATATTTTCGGCCAGAGAACAGGAGATGGCCCATACTCCTTTAACTTCTATGCAGTCTTAGGCCTGGAAGTTAAAAATAGAGTGAGGGAAATAAGCTCGGCTTCTGGGACTTAAATGTAAATTTGAACTTTCTGTCATTTGAATTCCAGATCCTAGATTACCATCAGTTAAGCCCAGCCTATGCTACTTAGTCTTTCTAAAAGTTTTTATCAGGATGAAAAAGTTCTGGAAATGGATAGTGGTGATGGTTGCACAAAATTGTAAATGTACTTAATGCGACAGAACTGTACACTTTAAAACGGTAAATTTTATGTATTTTTTTAACCACAATAAAAAATAAATAAAAATCCTGAATGGACGCTGAAAAATAATTTAACTTGTAATGTGAAAATATGCACAGTAAACCACATTTCTGGACAGAAATGTCACAGAAATGTGACTGGGAAAAGCTGTCATCCTTTATCTTGATCTAAAAGATATTAAGCAGTTTCCTATAACGTGTGTGCCACTAAGCCCTCCACCTGTCCTCATTCAGCATCTAATCGGCTGTTTCCCACTCCCCAGCCCCCACTTCCTCCATACATGATATTCATTTTCTAACCTCCCTACATTTGTTCACTGATCTCTTCTACTTGGAATCTTTGTCTCTGCTCTTTAAAGGCCTGACAGTATTAATTTGAATCAATTTCTTTCACCCATCTATTCATTCTATTGCAGTCCATTCATTTTTCTAATATTTGTGTACTTAATACCAGGTACTGAGTAAGCTTTGGTATTCTCAGTATACTCAAGTGGTCTTCATCCTCCTGGAGCATATGGTTCAGTAGGGGAGAAAGACAGTAAGTCAATAAATGCAACCTAGTTACAAATGTGACTAAGGGAAAGAGTATCAGGTACATTATAAGGAAATGAGAGAATATGGTTCAGAACAGATAGACAAATCTTCCTCGACTCAGAATGGAGTTACGTCTTGATAAACCCATTGAATTGAAAATATCATTAAGTCGAAACTGCATTTAATACACCTATCCTACCAAACATAGCTTAGCCTAGCCTACCTTAAATGAGCTCAGGACACTTACATTAGCCTACAGTCGGACAAAATCATCTAACACAAAGCCTAGTTATAATAAAGTGTTGAATACCTCATGTAATTTATTGACTTCTGTATTGATAGTGAAAAACAATGGTTGGGTACAGAATGGTTGTAAGCGTATAGGTTGTTCACCCTCATGATCAAAGGACTGACTAGGAGCTGCACTCGCTGCCGCTGCCCAGCATCACGAGAGAGGGTTGTACTGCATATCGCTAGCCCAGGAAAAGATCAAAATTCAAAATTTGAAGTACAGTTTCTACTGAATGTGCATAGCTTTTGCACCATTGTAAAGTCAAAAAATCGTTAAGTCGAAACATAGTCAGGAACCATCTGTATATAATGTTGTTGTTGTACTGGACTCTAGCTGAATTCAACTTCGTTATTTCATGCAAGAAAGCCTCGTGCTGACTCAATAAGTTTGGGTTCCAGGTTATTGTTCCTGACACCTACTTCAAGCCAGAGTTGGAATGCTTTCTAAGCAATCATATCCTAAATCAGTATTCTGACCACTGCTCTGCAGATGTTCCATAATGTGCTATGAAGTACTCCATTCTCAGATTTAAGAAGCACTGGGGTGAACAAAGTGAAGCATGTCTATGGTAGCACTTTTAAATGGCCTTTAAAATGCTAATATGCATTATAAATGTAGAGGGATGTACACCTGAAGTAACTACGGGTATATCTCATCTTTTTAATGCCACTTTCTCAGTTCAAAATCCAATAGCTGGGCTGGCCCCGTGGCTTAACGGTTAAGTGCACGCGCTCCGCTGCTGGCGGCCTGGGTTCGGATCCCGGGCGCGCACTGAGGCACCGCTTCTCCGGCCATGCTGAGGCCATGTCCCACATACAGCAACTAGAAGGATGTGCAACTGTGACATACAACTATCTACTGTGGCTTTGGGGAAAAAAAAGGAGGAGGACTGACAATAGATGTTAGCTCAGAGCCAGTCTTTCTCAGCAAAAAGAGGATGATTAGCATGGATGTTAGCTCAGGGCTGATCTTCCTCACAAAAAGAAAAAAAAAAAATCCAATAGCTGTGTAAAAATGGAAGTTTTTCAAATATATGGCATGTCCTTAATTTGTACTGAAGGTACATCTGGGCAAGTTCTGAAGAGAAAATTGGCTTGAGTTTTGCCCGTCTTAGCACACCTGTCTGCTTGGGTGGTATACCTGGGCCATGTATACTGCATGAGAAGTTTTAGGGTTTCCAATATCTTCAATCTAGCCTCCTCCTCTGGTCCGTCATAAACCTCCAGATAACCAATGATGACTCGCTCCAGCCTCTTCAAGTGCCGGACAGTTAGGATCCCCAACCTAAAAACGAAAGAGAAAATGTAATGCCAAAGAGATGAAGTTGAGGACTACAGCCAGACCAGCAGCCCAGGGACTCGCCTCTTCACGAAGGCTGGCAGGTTCCTCGCATAGGTCCTGCGTAAGAGAAGGCGGTGCTCTGGCTCCATGTGGGTCAGGATCAGCTGCAGGACCTCATCGCAGTGTGTGGTGGGTCGGGCTGCATCTCCCTTCCAGTGCAGGGCTTTCTCCAGGACGGGGAATAAATCCAACAGACATAGCAGCACGGCCTAGGAGGGAGTAATGGAAAGGAACTGTAGTTCATCCATTTGTACTCACAACACACACTGATTTTCTAGCAACTTCGTTAACCTATCCTTGGGGTCCATGTCACAGAATTCTAAAAGATACTCATAATAATACATATTAAGTGTATATTACTTTATACTTTCAAACTTTTGTTACATTCTTTATCTCCATCTGACAATCTCAAATAAGTTAATACTTTCTCCTCAGAACTGTTTTTTGCTAATCTATAAAATGGGAAGAATAGGAAAGCTAAACCTGTAACTCAAATTTTAGGAGTCTTAAGTCTGTTGTCACTAAATTACTAAGTCTAAATGATATTCACATGTACTTACACTAAAAGCACTCCCAAATAGAATCTAAGACGGTCCTAATTTGTATCCAATTTGACCACCCTATCTGAAGTTTCAGTGTCTAGCCAATCTGTTTTAGCTCTCCTGGGATCTTTGGTTTTTCTCTTAGTTTTTTGGTTTTTTTTAAATCACCATCTCAAGAACCCTAACCTTTTTGGCTGTTAGTAACTGGATTTTCAAAACTCAATCTTTAAAAAAGAAAGGTGGCAGGGTGAGGTAGGGGGAGGAAAGGTAGGCATAAAATAAGAAACAAAGTTATTTCTATCTCTGATTTTATATAACTTGTTTCTCTGTCTTCAGAATGTTCTTTCCCCTCCCAAGAAACTCCTATTCATCCTTCATAAGCAAATATCACCTCCTTCCCAAATCCTCCTAAAACCACCCCAACACCACCAAACCTGGTTAGTTGCCTATTGCTGGACACCCACTGCACTTCACACAAACCTCTTTTAATAGATGTTATCACTCTATACTATATTTACATATATAGTATACATATTTACATAAATGTCTCTCCTAAGGGTTTCTTAAAGCCAGAAACCCTGTCTGATTCATTCACTCTTGGAACCTACAACAGCTACTGGCACACAGTAGGTACTCAGTGTCTACTGGATGAAAGAATAAATGACACTAAAGTATCCAACACATAAGGAGTTTCAAGTGTGTATGTTGACATAAATGCAGCACAGAAAGAAGGACACTTAAATTAATAAAAGTACAACTTTTTCAGACATAAAGCTGCCTCCAAGTGATATATAACTGACCCAGATGAGGACATAACACTGGCTTTTCTGTGGAGACTCAGGAATGTGGATGCCTGCTTAGTACTGAGATGTCTTCACTAGACACTTGCCACCTCCATAGTTTTAACTAGGCAAGGGCTTTTAGTTGTCATCCTCACTTTCCAAGAGAGGAAAATGTCTCTCAACTATTCTTATTCACATAATGCCACCTTCCACTCAAATTTGAGAACTCAGACTCACAGTTATGAACAAATGTGACAATTACCTGGATGAGGTGGTGCTCCGGTGTGTACAGGTGGTTGAAAAGGGCATGGTATAGGACCTGGGCCCTGTTATACTGAAGCAAATCAGCAGCCGGCTGCAATAGATAAAATACCCAATTAAAACAAAAGTTTCCCGAAGTTGGCAAAATGTTGATTAATTTGTGAAACTGAATTATGGGTACATAGGATTCATTACACCACTCTCTCTACTTCCATGTATATTTTAAAAGCTCCATAATACACAGTTTAAAAAAAAAAAGTTTCCTTGAGTAATAGCTTGCACATTTGGGTATAATCCCTTTCAGTTTCTGATTTTTTTGTTCCTTGAAAGTCAACTGTTAATTACTCAAGGTCTAGTTATTCAACTTGACAATGGTGCATGCCTTATGTGCGTGATCATGGCCCATGTTTCTCATATATATTACCTGTGAGATACAACCTCTACCAGGTCGGCAGAGGGCAAATATAAAGAAAAAAAACATAAATAAGTGAATTTAGTTACACAACAGCATTAACAGAAAGCCAGTTAATAAAAGATATAAACATAGGCAACAATAAAATAGTGAAATCATGAATGACAACGGCCATGAAGACTCAGTTTGTCCCATCAATACAGATGACAGAGAGCAGAGGCTGCTCACCACGTTAAGCACAATGTGATGGAGGCAGCGTACACCCAGGACTTTGTTCTCAGTTCGGTAGTCATCGGACATGAGCAATGATGGGGGAAGTATCCTCTCCAGATGCTGGTTCAGCCAGGGTCGAGTGACCTGCTGCAGAGTCCACGAGAAAACATGTTTGGTGGCAGGGTTATTTTTCCAGGATTCCCTAAGTGGAAATGTGAAACCACACTAAGTAAAGTGCCGTGGTGTTAACTCGCAAAGAGAATTAACCAGTTCAAGCTAAACAGAGAATTTTCTCGTCCTTGAAAAAAATACATCCCACATAAGATAACTCGATGTTATAACATATATTTTAGGATTTAAATCAAAATAATTAACAGAACTTACACTAAACGCATTTAACAATCACCAGGGCTCTAGGTCTAAAGCTCATCCAATGAGAAGTAGCCATTTCTAAGCATAGCTATGTAAAGGATCTGTGGTGATGGTGGTGGTTACTGTGAAGATGTGTTGAGGAAGGAGAGATGAGTAAAGAAACGTCTTCAATATTATTATTATTATAAGAGAGCAAATGAGTCAATATTTGAAGAGCAATTTATAGCTTAAAACGTGAGTTTACATACATTACTCAACTAATCTTCAAAATTAGTTGTGTAATAGGTAATATCTTTATATTACAAATAATGAAACTGAGGTTCAGAGAGGCTGTCCGACCTGGTCCTGCTCAGAAGCAATAACAAGAAGCACCAGACTGCCTCAAAACTAAGCCTTTAAACTCCAAGTTCCTGGTAAAATGACAGCTACACACGCATTTTCTCATCACTCCAGTGTTACAAATACTAACATACAAAGTAGCAAGTGGAAACTCACAGAAAATACTTTAGCTGATAGCAATCTAAAGGGCTGTTATTTTTCCATTCCAAACATTGCTTCCATATCTAATAACTATCCCTGTCTAATAACTAGCGCTGAGTTTCAAGATCCCTAAATTTAAATTCAAACCATAAGTTTAAATTCTCTCCAAATCCCCATCCCCACCTAATTTAAGAAAGTTAAGTCTAAATAAACGGGACAGAACTTCCAATTTCCAGGGCAATTGTCATGAAGACTGGAAATAGCACTAGAAAACGGAGCCTGAAGACTCGGGTTCTAATGTCGAGTTTGCCACTATCTAGTTATGTCATTTATAGCAAATCACAACCTTTCTGGGCCTTAAGAAATCAGCTATTACAACACCTTTACCTTACTGACAAAGAAACTAAGGTTCCTTTGAGCTCTCACATTCTAAAACATTAGACTGAAGCTCAAGCCGGTGGCCCTTTCCGCAGGAGAACTCACTTATTCAAATCGGGCTTGAGAAGCCCCAATATCACAGAGAATCTCCCCTTCTCATCTTCATTATCTCCGCGGAGGAATCCCGCCACAGAACCACACTCAGTAACGTGAAGCAGTAAGGCGAGCACCTCTCCAGCAACGTCCTGAGATCTTGGGCTGGTCCACGCTTGCTCCAAACTGTGCGTGACGGCAAAAATATAGATGGGTCCTGACAAGTGACGTAGGCTTGTCTTCCACGCAGGGCAAACCAAGGAATTCTTGGCAGCTTCAACTTTCCTCAATAGCTTAAGAAACAGTAACCCAACTGCTGCCGCCTTCTCGGCCACTTCAGAGTGACCATCACTTCTATCTCCCTGCTCCTTGGGCGGGGCTGCATACTTCTCCAGGGCTTTTGCCACCTGCCCCAGCATCTCGGGCATTCCGCGGAGTGATGTCCCAGTCCCCTCAAATAGTTTATCACCCTCTGTGGCATCTATCAGAGCACTGAGGTCCTGAAGAGCTGCATTTTTCGCCTTGCCCCGTCGGGACTCTTGGCCGGAAAGACGGTGCAAAATCTGAGACAAGGCCTGTTCGAGGTCGGAGGAAGGCCACTCTCCAGGCAAGGAAGAGCCCTCCTTTGATGGGGACTCCCGCGGGTTGTCATGCTCCATTTCTCGGTCCGCGGCGGTGATGGGCTGGTCTCTCCCAGAGGACGGGGATGGAGACGGGCGGGGATAAGCTAAGGAGGGAAGGAAAGATCAGCCGGAGGGTGGAATTCTCCCCAAGAGCAGAACTAAAACCAAATAAGACGGCGGGACGTCTTAGAGGAAGGCGGGCAAGCCTCACCAGCATAAGAGTGAAGTATGTGTAAAGCAAAACATGCGGGAGAGGGGCCTCTCTGGGAGTAACAGAATCTCAGACTCCAAGCAGCGAAGTGGAGAAATTACTCTTGCCGTTCTGAAGCCTCAAAAAAAAAAAAAAAAAAAAAAAAAACCAAAGAGTTTAAGAAATAAACCCCTAAGGCAAGAGACGAGCACAGACACCAGAACCTGCAGCCCTTCCCGCACAGTCTGCGCCTAACAGCTTCCGGATCTCGCTGACGTCGTTGCCGCAAAGCACACCGCTAGCTTCCGCCAATACTGCAACAACGCTTCGTCATTTCACGACCTACTGTCGTAAAGCAATAGAGATCCGGGGTCAAAAAAGGTGGAGCTAAGAAGATAAATTTGCATAGATTATCATCTCCCCGCTAATTTTGCTTCTGTTTTCACTTATTAAGGTAGCAAAAAAGAGAAATCACGGAATATTGGTGATATTTTTAAAAACGTACAGGATCTTATATGTCAAGACGGGATATATATGGACTACATCTGTCACCCTTTCTGCAAAGTCAGTGGACCATACTCAGGGCTCCTTGTCAGGCGAACGCGTTCGATCCTTTTGTAGTTCATAAGCATGATGATTGGGTGTTCACGCGTCTGTGTGAGATGTGCCTCCCACAAACATTGTTACGACGTCGGCACATCACCCGTCTGACGTGAACTTCGAGGATCCTTTTTCGTTTTTTGCTTTAAAAACTTGGTTGTTCGGGACTTTACTTTCTCTCGGGTAGTTTCTTATGTTTGGGTTTTTGACGTTTTGTTTTGAGCATCTTTTTAACTATTTTTTGGGGGCTAGCCCGTGGAAGTGTGGTGTCATAGGCATTTAAATATCTAATTTCAGTGTTAAGCGAGGAGTTAGAAACTGCTGTGTGATCCGCTCACCCGGCGGGGGCCTCCCAGGAGGAGGGCGGTGTTTTTGCGCTGGGGAGACCGGCTGGGTGCCGGGTGCTGCCCGGCAGCCGCGCGGGGCTGCGTCTGGGCGGCAGGCGGCGCCTGGAGACAGCCCTCGAGGGAGAGGGAGGACCGCTGCGACCTGCAGGATCCAGCGGGGCTCCAACGGCCAGATGTCCTCAGTTAGGCGTTGATCGAGGAGGGGAGCCTGGTGCTGCCCTTTTGCCCTCCCCTGTCTCATGCTGCGCCGGCATTGCTTGTCTCCGCTGCAAGTTCCCTGAGGATGGAGGTGTGTCCAGTTGACCTTGGGTTCCCCGGGGGCCGGTCACCGTGCCTGGTCACCCTTGGGAGTTTGTCCGTGACTTTTAGATAGCTTCGAGTGTGTCACAGGAGCCCGGGGGAGCACACTTCATTTGTACCAAAGGGTGGGCAGGAGCGCAGAGAAATGGACGTCGGACGGGGGGAGGGCTCGGAGAGCCGGCTTCTCGGAGAGTGTGTGTGTGTGTGTGTCTGTGTGTGTCTGTGCGTGCGTGTGTGTAGGTTCTCCTCCCAGTGGTGGTTTATGGTGCAGGGAGACTTACAGTACTTTCGTCCCACCTTGCAGAGGACACTGCTGGCAAATTTCCTATCTTCGTATCCTATCTGCGATTCCTTCGTTGCCCCTTGCCTCCCTCGCTTGCTGTGTGACCTTGGGCAAAAATTCGGTAACCTCTCTGTGCCTTAATTTCTTTAACGGTAAAATATAGGTAGTAGTAGTTCCTGCTTCTTAGGATTGTTACGAGAAATAAAAGAGTTAAACATATGTAAACTACTTAGAGCAATCTGTTGGTCAGTGGGAGGTTCTATACAGGTGTTAGCTCTTATTGTTAAATCATAGTTCCTGTATTAACTTGCGGTTCCTCTTTTCAGAGGAATTTTGTGGTTAGTACCCCTCCTGTCTGCCTCTTTCATTTGGCCTTTCTTCCTTGACCAATTGGTGGCACTCATGATATTCTAAGCAATTTCAAACATTGATAAAAAACGTTTTCTCCCAAGGAGATTCTCCCATGTTAAGGGTCATGTGGGAGCAAGATGCCAACCCACAGATGGTTATTGTGTCCCTCCTGTGTGTGAGCCTGTCTTCCCTGTTCCATGTGCCCCTTGTGCTAAGTGGATCCCTTAGGAGGAAAGTACTTGCATTGTCTCCCCTTCTACCCTTGGAGTTTCCTGAGGCCAGAGGCCATGTCTTTATCCCCAGTGCCTGGCACAATTAAGTCATGCAATAAATGTTTGTTGAACCCACATGTCCGTCCACAGAGGACTGGCTGAATAAACCAGGGTACACCACACAATACAGTTCTGTGCAGCTGGACAAAGGAATGAAGACCATCTCTGTGGAGGCGGTAGAACTCCAGGATGTATTGTTAAGTGAAAAAAGCAAGGCCAAGACCATGTATATATGTGTTGCCTTTCTTCTAAGAAAGATGTGTGTGTTTGCTTACATTTTAAAGCAGCAGCAATGGAAGTATAAATTACCAACTAATAAAAATTGTTACACGTAGAAAAGAACAGGATGAGCTTCAGTCTAATGTTTTAGAATGTGAGAGATCAAAGGAACCTTAGTTTCTTTGTCAGTAAGACAAAGGTGTTGTAATAGCTGATTTCTTAAGGCCTAGAAAGGTTGTGATTTGCTATAAATGATGTAACTAGATAGTGGCAATGTCAATGAGCAATAAATAAAAAAATACATCCCACATAAGATAACTTGATGTTATAACATATATTTAGGATTTAAATCAAAATAATTAACAGAACTTACACTAAATGCATTTAACAGTCACCCAGGGCTCTAGGTCTAAAGCTCATCCAATGAGAAGTAGCCATCTCTAAGCATAGCTATGTAAAGGATCTGTGGTGATGGTGGTGGTTACTGTGAAGATGTGTTGAGGAAGGAGAGATGAGTAAAGAAATGTCTTCAATATTATTATTATTATTATAAGAGAGCAAATGAATCAATATTTGAAGAGCAATTTATAGCTTAAAACATGAGTTTACATACATTACTCAACTAATCTTCAAAATTAGTTATGTAATAGGTAATATCTTTATATTACAAATAATGAAACTGAGGTTCAGAGAGGCTGTCCGACCTGGTCCTGCTCAGAAGCAATAACAAATAAATA